CTCCTCCACGGCGCGGCGCACCGCCGAGCCCAGCTGCCGCCCCAGCTCCTGCCCCGATGAGAGCCCACGAGGGGCTCTGCGAGGCGCACGGGGGGGGGGGTGTGCTGGCACAGGGGGGGCGCACCTCGGCCTGGAACCCCGGCGACACCTCGCCAAGAAATCGGCGGATTGGGCCCCCCGAGGGCGAGTCCGCACGTCCCTGGGCGGGCCGGGGCTACCCATCGGCGATCAAAAGGGCGATTGCGGGTCGACGCATCCCCCCCACCCTAATTACGCGCATCCCCCCCTCCCTCGATTGATGGGCGTGTTTTCCACCACCACCACCATAAGTTGGAGGGGGTGGTCCTCCTCCTCCTCCTCCTCCTCCTCCTCCTCCTCCTCCTCCTCTTCTTCCCCCTCCTCGCCCTCTTCCTCCCTTCCCCCTCCAACTTATGGTGGTGGTGGTGGAAAACAGGCTCATCATCGATTGTTGCCCCTGAGCCCCAGAAAGGGGGGAGTGGCAGCGATGAGACGCACTGCTGCCGTCATCGGCCACGAACCTGCGATCGGCGTCGCCAAGATATGGCGTGCAGCATGTTGACCTCCACAGAGGGGGCTCCCGAGCGAAGCGAACCCCGCCCTCCCCCTCAGAAGTCGTGGGGGGTAGGGGTCGGGTTCGCATGTGGCCCTCTGCCAAAGAGCACGCTGTCCCTGCGAGGCGATCCCCCCGCGAGGCCCCCATTGTGCGCACGCCATCCCCCTGCGGGGGCCTCGTCGGTGCACGTTGTCCCTCTGCCGTGGCTTCTTGGGTGCACGCCGTCGACCTGCCCCGGACAACCCCTCGGACGACCCAGCGGGGATCCAGACACCCACACTGGACAAACCCTCGTGGACAAGCCTCCCCAGGATTTCAGATGTGGTCGGACAAAAGAACATCTTTCAAGAACATGAGACCCTCTGCCAGCCCGAACTGAAGAGCAGTCGAGGGTTATGTTGCTCCCATCGTACTTAAGGACCACGTCCAAGAAATGATTTCGAACACCCAAAACAGTTTAGAAAAAATGTCGAGCGAATATCGCCTCCCAGTGCCCGACACGTGAAAACCATCCAGTGTCGGTGCTTTCTTGGTGCTCGAAATTATTTCTGGTGATCAGGGCTAAAGTAGATTGGAAGATCATAATTCGAGGGCGCACTCCCCTAAGGATGCATAGTCACATCCAACAAACACGAAGAACCTTCGGGTAACCTCCCCGAACCGACCTCGATCATACCGGCTACGTACACGCAGGGCTTTGGTGCGCGGATGGAGGGGCGCAGAGGGGCCAAATCCAAGCACGCAAGCAGCCGCTGTCGCATCGCGCTCATCGGTCGGGGGGGCCCCGATGAGCCCGCACCAAAGGTCACTCGTGCGCAAAGGTCACTCCTACGTCTCGTCGATCTTATACCTCGGTCCGACCACAAGCGACAGGCCAGGCTTTGCGACGGGGCATTGCATAAGTACCCAAGTCTGTGCTGGCCCGGGCGAATGCCAACCTGGGTTTGTCGATCTTTGCAATATCCTGCAAAATCCTGCGCCCAACCCCAGGTCAATGCGCCCCTGACTCTGCAGGATTCTGCAAGATCCGGCGCTCTGACTGACCCCTGTTGGCATGAATCCCCGTCTCTTGCGCCCTGAGTCGGAGCTCTGGGTTATGCTTTCGGGGGGGGGGGGGGCGGGCAGCTCAGCTCGGCAAGGAAGGGAGGAGGGGAGGAGGAGGAGGAGGAGGAGGAGGAGGAGGAGGAGGAGGAGGAGGAGGAGGAGGAGGGAGGAGGAGGAGGAGGAAGCAGGAGGAGGAGGAGGAGGAGGAGGAGAGAAGGAGAAGGAGGGGATGGGGAGCGCCTTCAGCGGCCGCGCGGTGCGCGCGTGGCGCGTAGGCGCGCATGAACGCCTGCAGCTCCGCGCCCATGCGGCCGACAGCTTCGATGGCGGCGGCGCAGAGCCCAAACGGGGCCTGGGTAGCGGGTGTATTGGGCGCCCGAGTTATCCGGGGTAACTCGGGTCCGGGGTAACTCGGGTTTGGGTTCCCGAGAAAGGAACCCGAGTTATCCCTGACCCGAGTTACCCCTGATGATTCGGGGCTCTGGACGCCCGAGTTATCCGGGGTAACTCGGGTCCGGGGTAACTCGGGTTTGGATTCCCGAAAAACGAACCCGAGTTATCCCTGACCCGAGTTACCCCTGATGATTCGGGGCTCTGACCAGCCGTCGGGGCTGTCTGGCGGCTGTCAGAGCTGGGAGGCGCCAAGGCTTCGGCGATGCTCACGTCGCAACGCACCCGCCCACCCGGGTAACTAAGCCAGCGCCACGTCGAGGACGGCACGTTGGATGCCCTCGTCGCGCGCCGGTCCCAGGTGGGGATGCGCTGCTCGAAGCTGACCGCGTTCTGGCCGTGGCGCTCGGCGGGCCACTCGCCGAGCGCGTCCCGCGTGCCGTCGTGGCGGCGCACGAACCCTGGCCCCACTGGACACTTGCTTGCGCGCTCAGCGAGCGGCCCGTGCGTCGAGGCCCCGCAGTGCGATGTAGCGCCGCGAACGGTGTTGCAGCAAGGCCTGCCGGCCAGTGAGCAGGCGCCGGCGCAGGGTCACGCTGCGCTCGTCGTTGCCGAGCAGGTGCTGCTGTCGCGCGGGCAGTTCGAGCTCAGGCGGACCCGGTTCCGCCGTGGGACTGGAGGAGCCCTGCTTCTGGCTCGGAGAGGCGGTGGTCGAAGAGCCAGCGGCGCCGGCGTTCCACCACCTGGCGAGTGCAAATTTTCCGCTTGACTACGCGCTCGGCGCCCCAGGGCACCCTCGCGCCGTCGGCGCGGAGCCACGCTTTGGCCTCGGGCACTGTAGCCTGGAGTGAGCTCGGGCGTTGCCTCCTCTGCCCTGGCCAGGCTCGGCACCGACTGACCTGCCCTCGCGGCGGCCTGGACGACGCGCCTGGAGCCCAGCCACGCCGCGCCCGCGCGATGTTCGGCCGACCCGAAGCCAACGCCCCTTTGCTTCGCGGGCGGAAAGAGCACCTCTCGCCCGTTCGCTGTCAGGCCTGGGCCAATATGGCGCTCGATCTGCACGACCACCTCGTCGGCTAAAGATCGCCGGCAGCAGCGCAGGGCCAGCCGGGCCCGCTGCAAGTGTGCCGCGGCGCCGTTGACGCAGGTGCGGGGCAGCGCGAAGCAATGCTGCTTCTCCGGGCCCGCCGCCTCCGGGGCCGCAGGCGCGTCGCCGCAGGCCGCCTGCCGCTGGGCCGAAAGTGGAAGGAGAAGTCTGATCGAGGACCTCTGTGTGGGTGTCCCGCCACTCGTCGTCGTCCTCGTCCAGGCGGCCCCTGGCCTATGATGTTCCAATCTGCGTTAGCCTCGGTCGCCAGGAAAAACCTCGAGCGCCTGGATGGTTTTCACGCGTCGGGCACTGGGAGGCGATGTTCGTTCGACACTTTTTCTATACTTGTCGGGGCGCTCGAAATGATGTCTTGCGCGTGGTCCTCAAGCACGATGGGAGCACTCGCTATCGCTCGGACGTCCATTCCCTGTTCTTTTTTCGGTTTCGTGCATGGCTTTTTCGCCGAATGATCAAGGATGCTCATCGATGGTCCTCGCCGAAGGAAAAATGCACACGTCCGGGCGATGCCGAGGGAGGAGGAGGAGGAGGAGGGGAGGAGGGGGAGGGGGAGGAGGAGGAGGAGGAGGAGGAGGAGGAGGAGGAGGAGGAGGAGGAGGACGAGGAGGAGGACGAGGAGGAGGAGGGGGAGGAGCAACGCCGCCCCTGGCGAAGATCACCGCGCTTCCCAAGCAGAGGAACGCGCCCACGGCCCACGGCCCGGCGCCGCCCGGCAGCGCGGCGGGCGCCGTCCGTCGGGGCACCGGGCTCTGGTCTTGGCAGCGTTCGGTCCCAGCCCAAAGCCCTGAGAAGTGCGTCGAGGAAGGGGCCCCAGGACACACAAATACCCCCCTATATTTTCCTATATCTTCTGGGTTTCTGTCTTCCCCCCCAACAACGCCCATATCCTCCCATATTTTCTGGGGGATCGAGGATTCATTGTGTCTGTGAGTGCTTTCCCTCCCGAGAGAAGTGCGTCGAGGCCGTCGCCAAGGCCTGGTGCAGGTGGGTTCTCGGCACGGCGAAGTATGCGTCATCCAGGTGCGCCCGTGCCCTTCACCGCGCCCGCAGCGGCGCCTCCCACCGATCGGCCCAGAGGTCCTGGAGGCGTGAGGCGGCCCCCTCGGCCACGGGAGCGCGGCTGCTGCACCTCGCCGGTCTCGAAGAGCTCCCCGAACATCGCGCGGTCGAGGGCGAGGAAGCAACGCCACGCGGCCAGCTCGGCAGCGTCGCCGATGGCGTCTAAGATGGCCTGTGCAGCAACCTCCTGGGCCTCTCCGGTGGCGACCTTCAACGTGCCGGGCACGTCTTGGAGAGTACTCCGAGTTTCTTAACAAGCGTCGGGGGGGCGTCACCCCCGCCGACATCTCCACATCGACCCCCGTCGCGGGCAGCCACCGCGCGCCGAAGGCGCTCCGAATCCCGTCGCGGCGCGACAACGAGGCGAGGTTGACTCCCGTCTGGGCGGTATCCCCCAACGTTTTTTAAGAAACCGAGAGTGGCCGCCTGGTTGAGGAGGAAGGCCTCGGTAGTGTACAGACAGCCGTCCCGTCTGTTGCCGAACCGCGCCACCAATCCAGGTTACACAGGCTCCGAGGCCCGTCGGGGTCCAGGTGATCCTCGACCACCTCCTCCTTACCTGCGTGCGCCGCTCCCGGGCCGTTCGGCAGCCAGAGCCGACTGAGAGGGCGAAGGAGGCAGGGCTGCTGGTACAGAGGCGGGGCGGGGTCCGTGGGCAGCTGGAGGAACGGCTCCTCTTCCTGCTGCCGCTCGGCGGTCAGGTCCAGGAGCCCCCGGACGCTCTCTGGCCCACCTGGCGGCGTGACGTGCAGCGACCGTACCAGTACCGAGGGTGCACCCTGGCACGCGCGCTGCAAAGAAGAACCTCGCCCTGCTCGAACGCGACAGGACAAGACCGAGAACAGGCAGGCACGTGCGCCGTCTGCACGCTGCAGCGCCACTGTGGGCCGGCCGGCCGGGCAGCCGCCCCGCAGCGGCGGCCCCAGGCGGGGGCACACGGTCCCCGCCTGCCGGCACCTCCGGCCTGCCGGCCTCGCCCATAGGGTCTGCGGCCACGGTGGGAGGCGCGGGCCCCCTCGCACTGCATCGATAGGGGCTGCACTGGGATGGGGACGCGAATCAGCAAGGCGGGTCAGGATGGATTGCGCCGAGATGGGGGCGCGAATCAGGAAGACCTCCCGCCCTCCCCTCCCTCCCTCCCGCCCTCCTTTCTCCTCGCCTCCTGCCCTCCCCTCGCCCTCCCTCCCTCTCCTCCCTCCCTCCTGCCCTTCCCTCCCTCCCTCCCTCCTGTCTCCCTCGGGTTCCTCCCATCTCCTTCTCTCCCTCCCCTGCCCTCCCTCCTGCCCTCCCTCCCTTCCCTCCCTCCCATCCCCTCCCTCCTGCCCTCCCTCCTGCCCTCCCTCCCGCCCTCCCTCCCGCCCTCTTGCCCTCCCCCTCCCGCCCTCCCCTCCCCCCCTCGTGCTCCTCCCCGACCAGCACGGCAACCTTGCGGAGCTCCGCCTGGCCGCGCGGGGGGGAGGGCAGGCGGGCGTGGCCGGGCGACCCCCTGATCCCCAGGGAGCGACGGGGGAGGGAGGAGGAGGGAGGAGGGCCCCAGATCCCCTCGAGCCGTGACAACACCATGACGAACAATGTTTCGATACTCTCGGCCTCAAGGGGGACGGGGTAAATGCCCCGTAATGGGACCGTGATTCTGCATTGGCTGCCCACCTGAAGGCCCCACCGTGGGATGGGGTCGGTGCCAAAACCGTCAGGGCACTGCAGTCGTGCCAAACCAAGTCAAACGTCATGCCAAGCAGCCTCCGCAACGAAAACGGGCGACGGGGTGGGAGGAGGGACAAGGAGGGATGGATGAGGACGTGGAGGGGGACTTTCGGTGGTGGTCACAAGGGGGGCACCGTCCCGATGATCCGTTCCGGCACCCTCGCCCCCAGCCTCGTCGTGGCCCGTGGCGAAGGAGCAGTGCGGCGGTGGCCGACGCGTCCCAGAGCCGAAATGGTATGACCACCGCGAAACTGGGAAGACAGACGGACAATGGGACGGACAACCAGGCGGCGCGTCCTACCTGGCATGCCGCATGGGTGGTCACTGCATCTGGGAATCGGGTCCCGAACGCAGCAGCTTGCACGGCGACCATGACGACGCCGACGACGACGGGGACGAGGCGCGCGCACGATCTGCACCGACGCCCGGCTTTCGGAAATGGGCCACTGCGCAAGATTTGGAAATTACACAACACATCGTTGGGCGCTTATGCGGCCTACCTCCGAGCGAAGGCCCTCCCCACAGAGCATGAGCCATACGCTTCGGGTTCGCATCCTCATGCCTTGCTGAACGCGGGAGCGCGTTTCTTCCAATCCTCACCGAACTGGCAGAAACCGATATGGTAGAACCTTGGGGCCCCAATTTCGCAGTTGACCTCCCGGGTTTTCGCGAGCTTTTTCATGGCGGCCGTTTTCTCTCGATCACCCCGGGGATACCACGCGACGAGGCCACGCGACAGATACGGTAAACAAGGTACATCAGCTGGTTCCCTTTGCGAACTTTGTCCTGGTCTCTATCCGAAAGGCCAGGGGGCCCGACCGAGCATCCACCGTCATCGCGGGGCGGACCAGGTCCACCCCCCTTAACTCGTCGGGCGCGGCTCCAAGAGTTACACGGGGGCCCGAACCATGAAACTCCTGCTCGCCTGCTTCGCGCCAGAGCCAGAAGACGCTCGTGAACCTCCTTATCAAGTAGGTCGACCCCTTCGGCGATATCAAGCTCGTCGGCACGAACATCGCGGCGTCTGACAGCGCGGGCGAGCCGAACAAATCCAGAGAAAACCTTCAGAAAGCCCCGAGGCCCGACTCTCCCGCAAAAACGGTGGAGGCCTTCGGGGGCGGCGCGAATATCTTCACGCGCCTCGCGCTGGTGTCAGCGCCGCCTTCCGCCCCAGGATCGCGCTGTCCAGATCCGCCGCGCATCTTGACGTTTGCTCCAGCGCCGGGGCGGCTAGCTGGGCGAGCAGGTTCTGCGCCTTTCCTAGCTTGGCGCGCCGTCTGACGGGCGACTCTGTCTGCCGCCTGCCCTCCGCCATGGTGGGAGCCCTGTCTCGCGTCGTGCCCGCGAGGCCGCGGGCGGCTCCTCCGCGCCTGCGCCGGCGCAGCGACGGGCGGTCGTGAAGCCCCATGTGGGCGGCAGCTCTGTTCATCATATCGCGCGCGTCCACGAACAAGAGGGAGCCCCGGTCTCGACCGCGGGCGCACCTGTGCAGCACGACCCCCAGGCTGGGCAGATGGACCCGGCCGAGCAGGAGGCCGTCGTCGAACGCTCCAGCCTTGCGGGGCACCCTCTCGGCCGAGCCCCTTGTACATCACCGTGTTGTTGCGGAAGCCCTGGCCTGCTCCTGCAACCAGAGGAACAGCGTCCTCGGCGCGAGAACTCAGGTCCGCGGAGGGCCGCCTGGTCCGACCTTCGGCGCGCTGCACCGCTGCAGTCGTCTTCTCGGCCGACGACGGGCCGTGCCCGTCCAGCAACTCTGCGTCGAAGTAGCCGACCAGCGCGAGGTCGGTCGCCGCGCTGGTCCCTGACGGCGACCCGCCCTCCGTGCAGAAGTCCCTGAATGAAGGGGCCCCAGGACACACAAATAAATACACACAAATCAAATTATTCCCCATATTTTCCTATATTTTCTTGGTTTTTGTCTTCCCGCCCAATTCCCATATTTTCCTATATTTTCTGGGAAATCGACGATTAATTGTGTCTGTGTGTTTTTTTCCTTCCTGACTGAACCGCTTCAGGTAGAACTCGTGGCCGCGCGGCCGCGCGGCTGCACTGCGCACGGGGCACCGGCGACAAAAAACCGCCCCGCTCGACTGTAGTCGAACGGGGCGGTTTTTTGTCGCGGTCCTAACCGGGCCAAACTCAGGGCGAATCTATGGGTTGAGGTAAGGTCTGCGGTCCTCAGGGCTGGTTCACAGATTGGACCAGAGCTCCGTTTTCTACGGCCCCGGATGCTCGGGGTACGCGCAACAGTCGGGCCGGGCGAAAGGGAGTGATAGCAAAGGGGGCGTTTGAAAAGCAGCTCACGCAGCTGATTTTCCCAGCGCCTCCCGGCGCCGGGAGGCGCCCATGTATCGAGGAAGGGGCCCGGCGGCGGGGCCGAAACCAGCTGCATGCAGCAGATTTCGTACCCCCCCCCTTCCCGTTCCCCCCTTTCGTTCGGGCCGATACAGTGACCCTGGGTAAGGGTGACCTTTGGTGCGCGGCCTTTTTGGGGGCCGCGGGGTGAACAACCGCAGGCGCGAAAGACGCTACTATCGCATCGCGTTCGGCGATCGGGGGGCCCCGGTGTGCCCGCACCAAAGGTCACTCTGGCGAAAGGTCACTCGTACGTCTAGCCGACCCGTATCCACGGCGTCGCGGCCCAGGGGCACGGCCCGCCAGGCCGTGGACACGGATGCAGCCATCCTGCTGCAACAAGCCGCGAGGAGTGAGGAACGACGGGGGCCTCTTCTGGGCATCTTGAGCCCCGGCCACCAGGAGGTCCCCCGAGCCAGATCTAAGGACTGGCCGAAAGGACTGTAGCCCCTCCCGAGCCCGACGCGGCCCTTCATTCCAGCGTTTTGGCTGCACACCGCATCATGTGGACGGCCAAGGAGTTCGGTGTGCGGAAGCCCCAGCCTCCCACGTCTTTGAAGGCCAGGGGCGCCTGCTGATACATGGGCTACGACGTCTGCTCTTTCCCCAACGATGCTTGCTCTTCCTGTATGTCTACCCCCACGATCTGCCTTGACTGCATGTTTCCCGCCCGCGATGTTTGTCGGCGACTCCGAAGGGCGAGGTTTGCAAAGGGTGTGGTTCGCAACCGGCACCGTGGGGGGCAAGCTGGGGGGCGGGCGGGGACCTCGGTAGAGTTCTCCGCCGCGGCCCGAGCAAGCCCGACGAGGTGCTCCCCAGGCCCCAGCGGTGCCAGTCGGCAACCACGCCCTGGCGGAACCATCCCCCTCGTAGTCGCCGAGTTTGCTTTCCCCCCCCCGAGGCCTCGTGCTCCGACGCCGCCTCCCGCAGCGCCCTCGCGTGCTCCGCCAGCGCCTGCCGCAGGTGCCCACCCGGCAGCGCCGCCGCGGCCGCCTCGCCCGGCCTCCCGAGGAGGCCCTCCGGCTGCTGCCTCAGGGCCGGCCGTGCGGCGGGCCACACAAATCTGGCATGGAGCCGGCGGGACCCCGTGCCAACGCTGCTTGATAACCGTGACAAGCCCCTTCTCCCCCCCTGCCCCTGCCTGCTGTCGAGCCCCGCTCTCGTGCTTCTCTGCCACCCCTCCCTTTCCCAGTCGTCTGTGCGCTCAACTCCTCTGGGAGTCGGCTGGGGCGCACGGGGCGCTACGAGGGGTGTGGGATGCCACTCCCGACCAGCACCCCAGCCGAGCCCCCAGTGGAGTGAGGTGAGCGGCGCGGCGACAGTGGCAAGAGGCCGGCAGGTGTACTGGCCTTTAGGACACTTCCCAGCGACAACGCCGGCGGTCCTGCTTTCATTCCACACCTGCACACTCGAGGTACAGATCTCCAGGACACAGCCCGGCGGCAACGCTGGGGGTCCTGCTTATCTTCCACACGTGCGCGCAACAGGCACTCACATTCAAGTCTGGTGTCTAGGTAGGCGGGCCTGAACATGTACCCCAGCAGCGAGGTATCGACCTCTAGGGCACAGACTGGCGGCAACGCTGGCAGTTCTGCCTACCCTCCAAACGTGTACTCAGGTCACAGCCTGGTGACTAGGTAAGCGGGCCTGAACATATACCCCATTCACGAGGCATCGACCTCCAGGACACATACCAGTGGCAGTGCCGGCTGTCCTGTGCGGTCTCTCCACACTCGCACACCTGAGGTGCTGACCTCCAGGGAACAGCCTGGCGGAAATGCCAGCGGTCCTGCCTCCACGTGCCAAGAAGAGGTACGGCCCGACCGCACCGTCACTGTGCCTCCACGAGGCTCGTTGATGAGGTGGGAGCTGGGATGCCCAACCCTGTCCATGAACAGGCGTTGGCATCCGTATAGTTTTCGGCTCTGACTTAACAAGGTTGCGATACTACCTATCGATACACTCACCATAGCGCCCTACGGAGCTCAAAGCCTTTCGGTTTACCCTGGGATCCTGCAGGGTTCCCGCCCCCTACAGACTTCAGATCTGAATCAATTAATTCACCATGGCGTCCTACAGAGCTCCAACTCTGTAATGCTTACCCTGGTTCTCCATCTTCCAAGTCCAGGGCATTCGCCCTCCTCGCCGATGGTGCGAAGGAACAGACGGAGACCACCTCCGCTGGAACGCACACGCAACTCTGCCACGGAGCCAACGGACCCCCGTGCCAATGCTGCTCTATAACCGTGACAACCCCTCTCCCCCCTCACCCTCTACCCCTCTATAGCCGTGACAACCCACGATTGGACAAAAATAGGGGGAACGATTTAAAACATAGTTTCTTTGATTCCTATATAATTTTTCAACGGGAAGAGGACGATTAAAACTTGTATATTACACGTCGGCTTCGAATCTTGCGTCGAATACTCATTTCACTTCGTCGTCAAATTTCACGTTAAATAATCATTCGACTTCGACTTAACATTTTACGTAAAATGCAAATTCTACGTCGTCTTCAAACTTTGACGTCAAATACTCGTTCCACGTCGGCTTCAGACATGATGTCTAATGCTCATTTGACCTCGGATTCAAATGTTACGTCAGATACACAATCCACGCCGAATTTAAGTTTTACAACGGGCGCGCGCCCGAGGACGGCAAAGGGGGAACGGAAAAAAATGTCCCAGCCCGCGGCCGTTTTTTTCTAATCATCCTCTGGGCGCCGCCGACGCAACACGACCCCCGGTCATTTATTAATCGTCATCCTACATTACCCCTGCCTGCTGTTGGGCCCCTCACTCGTTCACCTCTGTTACCCCTCCCTATCCCAGCCGTCTGTGCGCTCAACTCCTCTGCGGGAATCGGCTGGGGACGCATGGGGGTGTGGGATGCCACTCCCGACGAGCACCCCAGCCGAGCCCCCAGTGGAGTGAGCGGCGGGGCGGCAGTGGCAAGGGGCTGGCAGGTGTACTGGCCTTCAGGACACTTCCCAGCGGCAACGCCGGCAGTCCTGCTTTCATTCCACACATGCGCATCCGAGGTACCGATCTTCAGGAGACAGCCCAGCGGCATTGCTGGCGGCCCTGCTTACCCTCCACAAGTGCGCGCAACAGGCACTCACATTCACGTCGCAGCCTGGTTACTAGGTAGGCGGAAGTGAACATATACCCCAGTAGCAAGGTATCTTGAGCAGGGACCGACCGTCCGGGCATTCCTATAGTTCCTTAAAACCCAACACTGTTCCAATAACAAAACCAAAGTTCCCAGAACATTAACCCGATGTGTTAAAACAAGACATGCCCAGCCATGAATGTTCTAAGAACATTTCGTGGGAACCACAAAAGGTTCTTAGAACACTGTTTGGTAGGGCTATAAGCGAGCCAGGACGCTTCGTCACTGCTTGAGTCTCGACCTCCAGGGCACAGACCGGCGGCAACGCTGGCGGTCCTGTCTATCCTGCAAAAGTGCAGTCACATTCAGGTCACAGCCTGGTGACTAGGCCAGCGGGCCTGAGCACATGCGCCGTTCACGAGCCGAGCGGAGCACGACCGCTCCCGCCCGGTGCTTGAAAACAGGACGGTCTCTGCCAGAAATGCTCTAAACAAATGTCGTGCAAACCGCCGTCGCTCGGACGTCCATTCCCCGTGCATGTTTCGGTTTCGTGCGTGTTTCTCCGCTCGATGATCCAGGATGCTCCTCCAGGATCCTCGCCAAGAACAACATGCACACGTCCGAGCGATGTCAGGCAAAATGTCCTTAGAACATGTTCCGGCAAGCGCATACGTAGGCACGTCGGGGCGCTTGGCCGCTGCTCGACTGACTGGCCGTCCCGGCCACTGTCTCCGCGCCAGCTCCCACGCCCTGGACTCGGAGCCAATGACACAGACACAGGACTTCCCCTGTCAGGAGAGGGACCCATGCGAACGATTTCTCAGTCGACATTGGGCGGAAGGGGAGGGGGAGGGGGGTCGGGTCCGGCTCCCAGACCTCTGCTTCACGCGGCCGTTTGCAGCAGTGCGACGTATGCGGAAGACTCCGCCTGCGTGAACAGGCGCCAGACACCAGCCAAGCTCTACTCCAAGGGGGTGGGGAGGGGGTGCGAAGGCCCGCGCCGATCGGCAGGACAGGGAAGAAGACAACGATCACACAGACATTTGACGCCGTGACTGGTTCACGGAGGGAGGAGGAGGAGGAGAAGAAGGAGGAGGAGGAGGAGGAGGAGGAGGAGGAGGAGGAGGAGGGAGAGGAGGAGGAGGAGGAGGAGGAAGAGGAGGAGGAGGAGGAGGCGGAGGAGGGAGGAGGAGGAGGAGGAGGGAGGAGGGAGGAGGGAGGAGGGAGGAGGGGGAGGGGGAGGAGGAAGAGGAGGAGGAGGAGGAGGAGGAGGAAGGAGGAGCATCCAGTCAGTGGTTCTCACATCTAGTACCGATGTTAATCAGTACGTTGAGGCCAGCAGTGTGCCTTTTTCGGGGGGGCCGGCTGGTCTTGGGGGGGCACTCTTCGGGACTGCGAGGAGGAAGAGGAGCAGAGGAGGAGGAGGAGGAGGAGGAGGAGGAGGAGGAGGAGGAGGAGGAGGAGGAGGAGAAGGGAGGAAGGGGTGGGGGAGGGGGAGGAGGAGGAGGAGGAGGAGGAGGAGGAGGAGGGGAGGAGGAGGAGGAGGAGGAGGAGGAGGAGGGGAGGGGAAGAGGAGGGAGGAGGAGGAAGGAGGAGGAGGAGGAGGAGGGGGAGGAGGAGGAGGAGGAGGAGGAGGAGGAGGAGGTGAGGAGGAGGAGGAGGAGGAGGAGAAGGAGGATGAGGAGGAGGAGGAGAGGAGGAGGAGGAGCAGGAGGAGCAGGAGGAGCAGGAGGCGGGGGAGGAGGAGGAGGAGGAGGAGGAGGAGGAGGAGGAGGAGGAGGAGGAGGAGGAGGAGGAGGAGGAGGAGGAGGAGGAGGAGGAGGAGGAGAGGAGGAGGGAGGAGGAGGAGGAGGAGGAGGAGGAGGAGGAGGAGGAGGAGGAGGAGTTCTCAGGGAGGTCTGGACCTCTGCCCAGGGGCCTGCCTTCCCTCGCGAGTCGCTCCTTTGGCAGTCTCCCCTTCGCGGCGCGAAGCAGTCGGGGCGGAGGGCGGAAGGCCCCCTGGGCGCTAGCGTTAGGTCGGGCACGTCCCCCCAGTCTGGACGAAAATTTATAAATAGTCAAAAGATGCGCAAACATACCCAAAAACGTAGCAGAACACTCGTCCCCAGACTCTTTTTCAGACAATCTTTGAACACTCCTCCTGTAGAGGGACAGGCACGACTTAACGCTGGCGGGCCCGAGCTGGCTCGAATCCCTGCGTCGCATCGGATCCAAAACGGACCTGACCGCCAACGGTTGGCGGCGCGCACAAGGGGGGGCAGGGGAAGGGGGGGAGGCTTCTCAGAAGCAGGCTGCTTCTCAGAAGGCGCCGGCCCTACATCTGTAGATGCTGCCCGCGCCTTCTGAAAAGCAGGGGTGTTTCCGCCTTCTGAAAAGCAGGGGTGTTTCCGAAAAGCTTTTCCCCCTCCCCCATACCCCCCTCTACGCGCGGCCGATGGGCGACGGAAAGCAGCGGGTCGTACGCGAGAAAGCATAGCGTCAGGTCGGGTATGTCCTCCTACAGGCCAACCCTGGACGGAACATCAAAACAGCCCAAACACACGCCAAACAAACATCGGAAACATGCAACAACCGAAACTGTGCAGGAATCGTCGAACAGATCGAAGATGCGCAAAAACATCGCCCCCGAACATCGAAAACATAATTATGCACAGGTCGCCCCCGAAGATCGACACTAGGCACAACTCGTCCCCAAACTATCCTTCGACTGCTTTTTCGAGCCTCCCCCCTGCCATCCGAGGAACGTGCCCGACGTGAGCACGGCGACCCCGCGCGAAAAGGGCCTGCGCAGGCCGCCGCCGAGGCAAAGGCGCGCCCCGCCGGGAGGGCAGGCGCGCCGCCCGCGCGCGGCGCGCCCGCGCAGCGGGCCCGAGCCGGCGTGGGGCGTCGGAGGGCCGCGCCGCAGCGGCGAGGCGCGTCGGCGACGCGTCGGCGCGGAGGCGCCCACAGCCGACGCACCGACGCGGTGCCGACGCCTCGCCGCTGCGTCGGCAGCACCGCTCGGGGATGCGTCGGCAGCACCGGCTGCGACAGGCGTCGGCGCTGCGTCGGCAGCCGGCCGCACCGCCGAGCGCGCATCGCCGAGCGCGCGGACCCCGCGCAGATCGCGGCGCCGAGCGCGCGGATCCCGAGCAGATCGCAGCGCCGAGCGCGCGGGTCGCATTCGCCGAGCGCGCGGATGCCACATCGGCGTCGCAGCGCCGAGCGCGCGGATCCCCCGGCGCGCGCCGAGGTGCGTGGCCCCGTGGTGGGCTGGCGGGCTGCCCCGCGTGCGACGCCGCAGGAGTCTGCCGAGGTCCGCCCGGCCGCGGGCGCGCTCGAGGGAGGCAGCAAGCGCCAGCGATGCAGGAACAAAAGAAGCTGGCGCGAACGCCTTGCAGTGTTGTCTCGGCGTGCGCAGGGCCCATTGGCGCGAACGCCGCGGGTCGCGGCGTCGCCGCCTTCGTTGGAAAGCGCTTCTGCGCTGTCCGCGCTGCGCGATCTAGCAGCCCCATCTACTCGGAGACCGTCAGGGAGCCAAAGTTTTTCGTCGCTCGGCTGCGTGGCTGGACACGAGCGGTGTGTTTCGCTCCGTTGTCCGATTTGCTCTTCGAATTTATCTGCCTGTTCCCATGAGCCTCTCTGCCGAAACAAAGAACAACACGAAACTCGACATCCAGCCAAACAGCGCTTAGGCCCAACCCTGGTCGGCTGGCCATGGCCGATGCCAATGAACCGATCCAACTGGACTCGAATCGGAATCACGGTGCCGACCCCGCGAATCGAACTGTGTCCGACCAGACCGTAAACAGCCACGCAACCCCCTCCACGTTGCCCCCTGGCCTGTGGGCCATAGCTCGGGTATCTGGCGGCCCTTCGGGGCGATTCGGGCGCCCCCGGAACGCCCTCGGCGAGGCGCAACTGCTCGAGAGCATTCCGAGGCTTGAAAATCGCTGCGAGCCGACGAACACGATCGAACATCTTGAGCCTCGAACCCCTTTCGTCCCTCTCACTCTCGTCGGGCCCGAACCTTTGGGTTCGTGTCGGGTTCCTCGAGACTCGATCCTGCGGCCCGCGGCTTGCCGCTGGGGCCGCCACTGGTAGTGGGCTGGCTTCTCCTGCAGGCCCCGCGCGTCGTCGCCGTTGAGCGGGCCCGAGACCTCCCACGGCAAATGGTACTCGAAGGCACGCGGACTCCGGGGCGGGAAGCGGTTAGGAAGACGGGAGAGGATAGACAAAGAGGAAACGGGGGGGGGATAATGAGGAGGAGGAGGAGGAGGAGGAGGACGAGGAGGAGGAGGATGCGAAAAGGAGGAGGAGGAACAGGAGCAGGAGGAGGAGGAGGAAGAGGATAAAGGAGGAGCGGAAGAGGTGGGAGGAGGAGGAGGAGGAGGAGGAGGAGGAGGAGAGAGGAGGAGGAGAGGAGGAGGAGGAGGCGGACGAGGAGAAGGACGAGGAGGAAGAGGATGGAGGAGGAAGAGGAGAGGAGGAGGAGGAGGAGGAGGAGGAGGAGGAGGAGGAGGGAGGAAGGGGAGGAGCGAGGATGAGGATGAGGAGGAGAAGGAGGAGGAGGAGGAGGGGACGAGGGAGGAGGAAAGAGGACGAAGGAAGGGTGTGACTTCTTGTTGCGCAGTGCCCATGTGGAAAATAGCGAGCCCTCAGCAGGCTCTAAGCCTTAACTGTGGAGCGGGTGCCGCGGGCCCAGGAGGGGGGATGAAGAGGGGGAGGAGGAGGGGGAGGGGGAGGGGGAGGGGGAGGAGGAGGAGGAGGATGAGGAGGAGGAGGAGGATCAATGAAGAGGGAGGGGGGGGGATGGAGGACGAGGAGGATGGAGGAGGGAAGAGGAAGAGGAGGAGGAGGAGGAGGAGGAGGAGGAGGAGGAGGAGGAGGAGGAGGAGGTGTTTCAACTGTGTCGCCTCTCGCTCCACGCGAGTCGCACGGCCTGCCCAGGCCGCGCCCGCCGCCGCCACCGCTGCGGCCTCCTCTCCGGGGGGTCGCGGCCCTGGGGCCCGCCCCCTCAAGCCGCGTCTGGCTGAGGCGGGTGGCGCAATGCTGAGCTGCTCTGCTTCCAGCTGTCCTGGTGCTGCTGGTGGTCGTCGTGCTGCTGGCGCCGCGGTGCTGGCTGCTGTCCAATGTGCTGCACAGAAGGCGCCGCGCCCTCGCACACGACCCCTCCGGGAGCTTCTCGCAGGACGACCGTCTCGCCCTGCACGAGGAAGACCCTCCTGAAGCGACGGGAGCCCACGTGCCGATAGACTAGCTCTAGGTCGACACTGTCGCGCTCGAGCTGGACCACCACGTCGAGCGTGTGCACCCCGCCCTCGCGGCATAGCTGGGCGAGCCAGCCCTCGACCGCCTGCTCGGTCTCCACTCTAACGCTGTAGCTGACGATATTGGGGTCTAGCTTCGCCTCCCATGTCTTGCACGCGCGGCTTCCATTGCTGTAGCTGCCGGGATTTGGCTCTAGCTTCGCATGCCCCTTCTCGCACGTCCTGGCCCCAACGCTGCAGCTGATGGTGTTGGGCTCTACCTTCGCCCCCCACTTCTTGCACGCGCTCTTCCCAGGCTCATCCTTCGCCTCCTGCTGCCACTGCCCGTCCTTCTCGCACCTCTCGCCCTTCTCGAACGCACAACGTCTGTCTTCGTGAGGCTGCCCATGCCCGTCCGTCCGCTTGTGGCTGCCACTGCCCGCCTTCCTCGCACGCACAGGGTGCGTCTTCTTGAAGCTGCCACTGCCCGATTTTCTCGCGCGCAGGGTCCGTCTTCTCGGGGCTGCCACTGCCCGTCCGTTTGAAGCTGCCACTGCCCGTCTTCTTGAAGCTGCCACTGCCGACGTCGGGCTCCCTCTCGTCGCCTCCCGCTAGCCACGTCGAGACAATCGCTGCCCGAGCCATCCACATGGCCCTGTTCGCGCCGTCCTTTCCGCGCGCCCTATCCCCAGCGCTGTAGCCGATGGCGTTGGGCTCGTTCTTCACCGCCCACCTCCTGTGGTAGCTGATGGTATCGGGCCCCAGCGTCGCCTCAAGCTTCTCGCATGGAATAGCCAGAGCCGCGTGGCTCTGTACGCCCTTCTCGCAAGCGCTGCCGCCGCCCTTCTCGCAAGCCCCGATGTAGGTGAGGACGTCTGGCTCGGCTTCTCGCGGCTGCCACTGCCCACCCCTTTGAAGCTGCCACTGACCGTCTTCTTGAGGCTGCCACTGCCGTTCTGCCTCCAGCCGCTGCCCATTCTCGCACGCCCTGATCCCATCACTGTAGGTACTGGGCTCTCTCTTCGCCTCCCGCTACTCGCACGCGCTGTCCCCAGGACCATGGCGATGGCTAGGGATGTTGGGCTCCAGCTTCGCCTTCCCTTTCTCGCACGCCCTGATCTCAGCGCTGTAGCATATGATGTCGGGCTCTACCTTCGCCTCCCTCGTCTCGCAATCTTGGGGCTGCCACAGCCCTCCCTCGCATAGGCTAGCCTCGCTCTGCTGCCACTGCCCTCCCTCGTCGCACGCGGACTCCTGAGAGCACTGCTCGAACTGCTCGCTGTGCGTGAGAGGGGCCAGCAGCCAGTTGAAGTCCAGCTGCGCCTGCCGGCGCGTCGCCAGGCGCAGTCGCCGCTACGCGCGCCTCTGGCTGTTGCTCGGGCGCCTCTCCCCTCCTGGGGGCGCACTCGTTATCTCGGCCATCGGCACTCAGCGCCCCACAAACGGGGACTCCACTAACGGGTACTTTGGCCAAACACCCAGCGAACCCAACCCTTCCCGATACGGGCAACGCTGCATTGCCAGAAAGAGGCCCTAAAGTGGCAACTTTCGGCAGATCTCCAAAGTACCCGTTTGTGAGTACCCGTTACGGTGCCACTGATGCTCGGGCGCCTCTCACCTCCCGGGGGCGCACTCGTTATCTCGGCCATCGGCACCTTCGGCGGGCTGCCGCCGCAGCTTGCCTCCTCCTCCTCCTCCTCTTCGCGCCTTCTGCGCTAAAGGGCTCCCCTGGCACGGGCCCCTCCGCGCGCCGCGCTCGCCGCGGGCGAAGCCGGCTGCGCGGGGCCACGCCGGGGAGCCACCTAGGAGGAAAAGGAGGAGGAGGAGGAGGAGGAGGAGGAGGAGGAGGAGGAGGAGGACGTAGGGGGGGAGAAAAAATAATGAGACAGAGGAGGGGGAGAAGGAGGAGGAGGAGGAAGAAGAGGAGGAGGAGGACGAGGAGGAGGACCAGTGTAACCCAAGAGTCATCAACGATGATGAAATCAACCCTCCCGCTAAGCTCCCTGTTTCACAAGCTACTAAAACGGTTCATTTCCATTGGGGAATTGTCTCGTTTGAACAAAACCGGTCGAAAACCTCGAAGCATGCCAAAACATTGTTTTCGGGATTTCCGGATCAACCAGACTGCTGCGTCCGGACGATATGGAATCGTGCCACAACGCCACTTTCGGGTCTTCAGCACCACGAACCAACATAACGGTTGCACCCGCATGCTACTGAATCCTTCCAAAACACCATTTCTGGTGCTCTGATCATGGGAAACCGTGAAATTCTTGCAAATCTAAGAAAGAGTGTGCGCCGCGCCAAGGCGAAAACAACATGTTGAAAAGAAGCCGCCCTCAATCCGCCAAGTTCTTGCAACTTTTTGAAACGAATGCGCGCGGCGCTAAGGCGAGAACCACATTCTGAAAACGGCAAGCCCTCATTCCGTGAAGATCTTGCGAACTGTTGAAACGAATGTACGCGGCGCTGAAGAGAGAGCCACAGTATGAAAAGAAGCCGTCCTCAATTCGTAAAGCCCTTTGCATTTCTGCTTGAAAAAATGCGCGGGTCGCTAAGGCGAGAACCACATTTTGAAAACCACCCGCTCTCAATCCGTGAAGGCCTTGTAAACATTTGAAACGAATGTGCGCGGCGCTAAAGCGAAAACCACCTTTCGAAGAGGAGCCGCCTTCAATCCGTGAAGCTCCTGCAATTGTTTAAACGAACGTGCGCGGCGCTAAGCGAGAGCAGGAAGTGGCAGAGGAGGAGGAGGGAAGAGGACGGGGAGGAGGGGGAGGAGGAGGAGGAAGAAGAGGTGGAGGAGAAGATAATGATGATGAGGAAGAAGAGGAGGAAGAGGAGGAGGAGAAGGAGGAGAAGGAGGAGGAGAACGAGGAGGAGGAGGAGGAGGAAGAGGAGGAGGGGGAGGAGGAGGAGGAGGAGGAGGAGGAGGAGGAGAAGGAAGAGGAGAACGAGGAGGACGGAAGAGGAGGAGGAGGAGGAGGAGGAGGCGGAGGAGGAGGAGGGGGGGGAGAACGAGGAGGAGGGGGGTGGAGAACGAGGAGGAGGAGGACGGAGGAGGAGGAGGAGGAGGAGGCTCTTGGGGACCTCTTGGGGCTTCTTGGAGCCTCTTGGGGTCTCCTCGGGGCCTCTTGGGGCAAAACGCTCGAATCTTCGGTTCCTGGTCGCCGTCTTGAGCGCCGACTTGGGGCGTTGTTGAGCAATTTAGGCGTCTGGTAGGTCGTCTTGGCGCCCTCATGGGCCGTCTTGGAGCCCTCTTGAGTGCATCCTCGACCGTCTTGGGTGCCTCTGGGGCCGTCTTGGACTCAGTGGAAGCCCCAAAGGCGAACGCGCTAAACATATCAGTTTTCCGATAGGAAGTCGACGATGCTTGCTTATTTGGGGCTCTCTTGCGATGCCTCTTGGGAGCCTCCTGGGGGTCTCTCGGGGGCCTCTTCGGGCCTCTGGGGGGCCTCTTGGGGCCTCCTGGGGACCTGTTGGGGCCTCCTGGGAGCCTCTGGGGCCGAAAGCTCGGAATTTGAATATGGTTGTGCACCTCTGAGGCTCCTCTGGGGCTCGTCCTGGGGGTCTCTTGGGCTGTCTTGGGGGCCTCTCGGGCCAGACGCCCAAAAGGCAAACACGCCAAACATATAAGTTTTCTCATAGGAAATCGACGATGTTTGCTTATTGGGGCTCTCTCGGGGTGCCTCTTGGGGCGTCTTCGGTGCCTTCGGGGGCCTTTCTTGGCGTCATGGGGGTCGTCTTGAAAAGCGTCTGGAGCCATCCCTGCGGCCTCCTGGGGCCTCCTTGCAGCCTCTTGGGGCCCTGATGGCCCGGGGTCGCCGAACCCCCGTAAGAAACACAAGGAAAACGACGCGCGGGCCCCACATTTGTGGTCGTGGCGCCGATATATATATATATATATATATATATATATATATCAATATAAATATATATGAGCTGCCGCGGGCATCTGCCTCGATCGAGAAGAAGGACGAGGAGGAAAAAGAGGAGGAGGAAGAGGAACAAAAACAAAGACGATTTCGTTTTCGCCGCCGATGTCTCACACATTTGCATGGTCTTTCGACCACCCGAGGCATCTCCTCGAATTCACCTCCAGGAGCCGTTTTCGGTGCCAGGGACCACCGCCGAAAGTCCGGGATGAGGATCGACCTCCCTGGCCAGTGCCACCCCTTCGCAAAGGAAGGAACACGGGGTGGATCGAGGCTCGAGGCATGAGACTCCTAGCTCTTGGGCGCTCTCCGCCCCCTCGGGGCCTTCAGGAAGCCTCGTCGACACAACCGGGTCCACTATCGAACTTCTGGCTGGACGCAACCCCAGCTGGGTCTCAACGATCCCCGAGCCTGTCGAGGAGGTGGAAAGGAGGCCTGGGACAGGCCCTGTGAAGGCCCCAAGAAACTCACAGAAGACCACGAAAGCATCCAAAACATTCCCCTACAAGGGCCCCCCTTGAACCCCACACGCTACTCGGGGATGGACAGACCCCCCTTTAGTAAAACGTGGTTTAGTGAAAACGACCTGAGGCCCAAACCTGGCGGGCGCAAGCCTGGAACATAACGGCCACGGCGACCTCTCGAGAACCAAAAACGGACAATTCACTAATCGACGTGTCACTGTTGGGGGTTCTGTCCACCCCCGAGCTACGTTGGACAGGCCGAAACCCCAAGATTGCCCAGCGGTCGCGCGCGTTCCGCGAATTCTGCCTCTCACTCTTGCTGCCGCCCCAAGGGGTCGGCAGTGCGGCGTAGGCCAATTAACCATGAACGGTGAGGAAATCTCAGGCGAAACGCCCGGCCTGCCCCACAAACTGGCCTCGGAGTGCGACAGACAGGGAGGGGCTACCCAGAAGGAGAAGGGATGGAGCAGGAGGAGGAGGAAGGTAGAGAAAGGAGGAGGAGGAGGAGGAGGAGGAGGAGGAGAACGAGGAGGCCGAGAAGGAGGCCCCCTCCCGCCTCGGCGCCCTGGCCGCGCCGGCGCCCCGCGCCGACGCGGCAGCCGAGCTGCTCGGGGTCGCCGCGGGAGACCTGCGGAGTCCCGAGGGCGGACCGATATCGCAGCTCGGCTCGCTGGGGAGGCCCAAAGCGACGACCTACCAGACCACCCCAACCTGACCCGAATTTCGGGTTGGGGGGGGGGTACGGGTTCGAGATGTGTTTTTGTCCATGCTCCCGGACCGCCCCTCCCCACTGGAAATGAAGGGCAAACGGAGGCCTTCGGGTTGGGTTGGGGTGGTTTGGTGGGTGGTGAGGGAGGGGGGCCAACGATAGGGAGGGAACGATAAATGAGGCGTCCTAGATGAAGTCCGAGTAGATAGGGTCAGAGGATTGCACCGCATCGCCGATGTATCGCCGATGCATTGGCGACGTGGCGATGCATCGGCGACGTGGGCGTTGAGAAAATCGGGCTCCACATCGAGCCGCATCGCCGGTGCCGCATTGCCGATGCATCGGCGATGCGGAGCGGTCCTCCGATTCATTCCATCTGCTCCGACACCATCTGGGAGAAGTACGGACTCCCCGTATTTTCCCCTATCTTCTGGGACTTCGTCTTCCCCACACACTTCCCATCTTTTCTCGCATGCCCTGGGGAATCGACCATTCATTGTGTCTGTGTGTGCTTTTTCCCCTCCTGGGGGATCGCCCCTTCACTGTGTCTGTGTGTGCTTCTTCCCCTCCCCGAGGGGTGCCTGGCGCTCCTCCCGAGCGCGCGCCGGAGGGCCGAGCCGCGACGCGAGGACCCCGGGGCAACGACGTCGCGGGGCCCAGCTCGGCAGGGGGCAGACGTCGCTCTGGCATCGGCGATGCATCGTCGACAGATCGGCGGCGGTGCTCGAGATACGTTAAACAGTGATTTTTCCGTCTTCGTTCTGCTTTCGTCATCCCCAGTTCTGTCTTCGTTTTCCACATCTGCTGCAGAACGAAGTCATAGCAAAAAAACGGTCCACGAACTGGCCGAAACACCGTTCAGCTCGAGCCCTGATCGGCGGTGGGCCCCCGATCGCGAGACCACAGGCTCCTGGGCGGGGCGGGCCCTCAGGCACCTCTGTCGGCGATCGGCGATCTCGGGGATCGGTGCGTGCCCCCCGGCCCCCGAGGGGAGCGGAGGGGGCGGGCAAGCGTGGAGGGGCGCCAGTATGGCCGCGGAAGCGGCAGGGCCGCTTCTCCACCGCTTTCACGCGACTCCCCGTTGTCGACAATGAGTGCCTCCTCAACTTGGGCACGGTGAAGGACCGGCGACAGGAAACGGCAAACAACTGCTCCAGGATGAGGGCGGCAGAGTCTACACACCTCCACTGCTCCCCGGCCAGACCCACCCTGAACCCAGCAGCGGTGTCTACGCCACGCCCTCCCGGCTTGGCCAGGGGTGCGCAATCATACACAGCTCCTGGGTTCAGCAGGGGCCTGACCAGGGAACAGTGGATATGCATAAAACAGCTCCTGGGTTCAGCAGGGGCCTGACCAGGGAACAGTGGATATGCATAAAAAATTGATCAAAACAAGAAAAACAAAAAAACGCCATGAACATAGACTCGTGCTGTGGTCTGCGGTGGGCCCTCCTCCTTGGCGCGGAGCGCGCCAGGCGCCGCTGGGGGGGCCCAGCGCGTATCCAAGAAATCCGCGCGGAGCGCCAAACGTTTATGCTTATGCCGTTTTCTCTTCTTCGAGTGTATAGATTTCGTCGCCCGAGAGGCG